GATCCACTCCTCACCCTTTCCCTGGGTGCCGATCTGGGGCGGAGTGGGGCAGAGCTGGCTCCTCCAAGTGCATTTCCCAGGCTTCCAAGTCTACAGGCTTCCTACTGGGTTCAGCCAATAGGAGACCTGATGAGACATTGGTAGATAGTAAGGAGGGAAGGAGAAGCCAGGGTATTTCTCTTTCTTCTTTAATGTGTTGGGCAGCATCTCCAGTCCTCCATGGTTTCAGCTCCCTTGGACCAGGACTGTGAACTCTACGGACACCCCCTCTTTCTTCCTTCTTTATTCTTTTCTCTCTTCTCTCTCTTCCCTTCCCTTCTCTTCCTTTTCCATACACTGTCAAGGGATGCTAAGGGCTTCTTGCTGTTCATAATCTCTTGGTTGCAGAACCATTCTCAGTTGGCATTACAGTCTTTCATCACCTGTGTAACAGTTGCCTGCATTAAATATTCAGTGATTTCTGTTCTGGTTGGGCCCTGACTGATACACAGAGCCTCTACCCACAGTGGCCAATTTATATCCTTTAATAAGGAGACATAAGGATGCCTGTTTGTGATCCGTTTCTGTTTTAGTTGCCTATATTAAAACACACTCATTTTCTTATCAGGCAAATGTTTCTTTTAAGTTTCTGGCTTAAAACAGTGATTATAATTTACACGTAGATTTAATTAGTGGCAGACTGGACTATTAGAGTTTTATTTGCTGTTAAATATCATTTATTTTTATTCCCTTAATGACTGACCTGACCATATACTTATTTAAGTGCTTGATTTTTATTGTCAGTTTTTCATTTTGTTTTATAAAGATGCCATTGTCATTGGCTATATAAATCTGTTCTTAACATCTAAAAATGATTTAACTGCTGATAACTGCAAAATGTGCACCTCTTCAGTAAGCAGAATTCACATGAAGCATTGCAATAGTGAGAAGAATTAAATTGGGAAACATCCTGAAGGATGTCTGGCTTCAGCAAAACCACTTGAGATGGCTTTCCAGTCCTTTATACATGGTGTGTGACAGATCAGTGAACCTACTGCTTTTGTGGCTCGGACTGATGGAGGGGAGAAACCCACAATGAATGACTTTCTTTCAGTTTGTTAGAAATATCTTTACAGAGAACAGAGGTGGTAAGTTAGTATAAAGTCAGAAGCCAGCAAGCACATGGCCCCGGTGTTTTGGCACTTGTGACTATGTAGCAAGAAGGGAGGTGATTGGTTTTGTGGGACTTTGGATGGTGCTGAGTGTTTTATCTAGACAGGGAGAACATACATTTCAGATTAAACAAGAAAATTGCCATTTTTCTCTTATATAACATTTCTGAATCTGGGTGATATTTTAATATAACTCTAAAGTACTATCGTTTTGAGACTAATTTTGCATATCAACAGTCTGTATTCATGTAAGATGCTGGGTTAATACATAATGCCCATATTTAAAACCTCAAATTCCAGAACAGACGTTTTGATTTTGAAGACTCCTTGAGGTAAATGATGGCCCTTGCCTGACTTAGTGTCCTAAGATGAATGGCCCTCCCAATGCCCTTTTTAGATATTAGCTACTAATGAGTATTATTGAGCCTTTGACTAATTCTGAGAAGCATTTTGGTAACTTACTGAGCATTGGGGCTGTGACTTACTGAGTATGAAGACTGACAGGCCGTTCCTTAGCCCTGTGATCGATGTAGAAGCAGAGAAAAGCACTCCGATGCTCAACATTTCCTTTGTGTGAGGCATGGGGGGTAGTCAAAGCATACTCCAGCCAAAGGATATTATTTTTGTCAGGCACTTCTGCATTTTACTTTTATTAAAAGTGGCAGGAAAATAAGAAGTGCCACCAAACTTGGGAAGAGAAGTCTCTTGTCCACACCCCATTTTGATACTCAGTATATTATTAAAAGCATCATCCATCACCGGTATTCGCTAGTGTTAGATCGTTCATTACAATCAGTGAACCACAAAATAGTCTAGGTAGAGGGACAGAATTCAGAATCATGGGCCAGATGCACAAACCATGTAACTGATTATTCCTAGAAGGGCAAAATCTGGGTCTTTGTATTCATTGGATTTGTTGGAAGTATGGCTATGTTTATCTGTCTGTGTTCCTGAGCCTTCTGGAGGAAAGGCTAGAACAGTATAACATGTAAATAAGGAAACCAAATCCAGATAGGCCCACAGATACAAAAGGACTTAATTCTTAAATAGAAACTGGCTATCGACATTCCTACTTCCTTTTCTTTGAATCCTTCTTTCCCATGTTATTGCAAGTGGATTGTTGGCTTTTGCATTTGCTTTATTTTAGCCTCTTGAATATTTTTGTCTGTAAGATGATAACTCTGTGTGTGTGTGGTGTGTGTGTGTTCCATCATACTTCAAGATAAAATGGGTCAGAAAGCTATGTTTTAGCAAAGCAGTTTGGTGCCTTTGTGGTTGCTACATGGGCTTCTGAGTCTAAGGACCCCCTAAGTTTCAGTTTTTAATCCCTTATGCTCTTTATTATACTCTTTTCCTTGCGGTCTTTATGTAATAATAACATGCAGTATTATTTGTATAATACTTTATAATGCAACAGACAACTCTCCTCTTCAGATCATCTCTTTTCTTAGTATCTTGATGCTGTATCCTCCTGATTTTCATCCATTTCCCTGACTATCCCTTCTTAGGCTCCTTCATAGGCTCCCTTTCCTCCGTCCAGCCTCTACATGTTGTAGTTTCTTAAAGACTTTGTCTTGTACCCTTTTTCCCCCATACTTTCTAAGGAGCCAGGCTCTATCCTGCCTCAGGACTGTCACACATATTATTCTTTCTTCTCGTGACTCCCTTCTCGCCCTCCTCTTTATGTCTAATTCTTACTCCTCCCTTTTTCCCCCCATGTACTCCGATCCATGGACTCCGCATACTGGATCATTTGCTTTTCTTCACACCTTGTACTTTCCCACCTCTATTCTTTCTACTGTTCTCATTTTGTTTTCTGCTGTGTGACAGGCAACTTCTATTTTTCATTGCCCAGCTAAAAAACCATGTTAATTCATGAAGCTTTCTTACAATCACCACAGATTTTTAAAAGTTCAGATCAGTTGATATATTTCCATACCCCTCATAGCACTCTTCATGTTTACCTCCTATTATTTTTCTATGTATGTGTTATAACCTCTGTTAGACTGTGAACTCCTCATAGGCAAGGATCTTATCTTCAACTTAACTGAATCTTCCGCAGAAGATATCATAGTGTCTTATATGCAGCACTTATACAGTAAATATTTACCAGGTTAAATTAATGAAAATGATTACTAAATCAAGCGTATAGGAACATTTACATTATAGCTTGCTAAGAGTCCTCATTCTCATTCAAAAGAAATGAGAAACTTGGAATCTCTAGGATTACTGCCATTGACCTAAAAGGCTCTTATTTGTGCCCAGATATATAACTCTGAGTGAACTTTGTATCAGACTATCTAAGAAAGGAGGCTGCTGTAAGCGGTGCAAGAAATAGCAAACATTTCTGTTACTTCACCTTTCCAAGCTGAAAAAAAGATAGCTTCTATTGCTTTGAGCTTCTGTTGATGGTTTTCTGTTCTGCTTATTAATCAGGGTTGTATTATTTAAAAAGACCCATCCAAATATTCTTTCTCTCCTTTGAATTGGTGTTGGATATTAATTTACTGCTGTAGGATACATTGGTAAAGATTTCTGAAATTGCAGGGGAGTGTTTCTTTAATCCCTCAAGTCTGTTAAGTACCCTATTATAATGGAGTTCATAATCTCCTAGTTGGTAGAAGAGATGAAATGGTTACTGGGGATATTTTCTCTTGCTGCAAAATTATTATATTAGAAAACACTTCATCCAGTTTTTTAATCCTTTCCACGTGCTTCAAGATCCTTAGGAAATAAGTTGGTGGCACTGTCAGGTCACTGCGATTCAATTAGTAGCCTTTATAGGTGAGCCTTGAAAGTAGTTTTCATTAATATTGTGTACATACATTCATAACCATTAGAATGCTCAGATGAGGTCATGATTATGGCAAACATATGATCTTAGAATATCTTTATCATTCAGCATAAATTGCTGAACAGCCAGCTGGTAAGTGGTTTCAGGGAACAGGTGAGAGTGAACCTTTAGGCCATGAAGGTGTATATCCCCTTGGTTTATTCCTCTAAACACATCGCGAGGGTCAGTTTTGATCTGCTCAGCAACTTCAGTTCCATGGTGACTTTATGTCCCTATTTTCCTTTGCTTTTTTTCATACTGAAGAATTGTGAGGCAGCCTCAAGTTGCAGTCCATCTTGGAAATGATAACATTATTAATGTATTTTCTTTTTCTGGATCATTTATAACATTGCTGGTTGACAGTTATTGTTTATTAAGTATCCATGGCTTGTAGAGAACGTTTGGTTCAGCTGAAGGCAGAAGATATGTAGCAATGACTTCCCATTCTAAAGGATTATTATGAAATTAAAATAAGGCTGGTCTTTCCTAACTTGGCCTGGGAATGATATAAGATAGACTATCCCTGGCTCATTATTTTTCACTGTCTTGCACTGTTTGATATTTACCCTGAGTGGAATTAGGGGAAGGACTAGAGCTTCTGTTTTCTATGACTACATCAGTATAGGCAGTTGTGAATTACCCAAATGAAATGACCCCTAAATTCGGGGGAGCGGGGAAGGGTAAAAGGCAACAACAACAACAATTAAAAAAACCCCTAATAACTTAGTATTTGTAATACCAAATGGAACATTTAGCTATAATTCTAAGCATGTTAGAAATTAAATTTTATTCAGTAAGTACTTCCCACACTTTTTAAATATAGACTTTTGGAATCAGCATTTTGCATCTCGATCCCGCCACCCCTCCACTCCCACAAAAAGAAGTTTGGCTTTTGTGCATACTGACCATGAGGCTTTTGAACCATAATACATACTAATAGGCACACAGAAGCATATATTCTCTATAACATGCATCACTCAAATAGAGAAAAATTAATTTATTATCTTGTGTTCTAGTGAGTCACCAGCTAATAAATCACATTGAACAGTTTTTGGATACTAACGAAATACCGTATTTTATGAAGACCATGGACTGCATCAAAGCCTTCCGGGAAGAAGCCATTCAGGTAAGGCTATCCTAGCCTCTTCCTAAACGGTTTAGCCAGCACCACAGGGGAGAGACATGCAGCATCCCACGAATAAGCCTGGGCTTTGAAATAATCATTCTCACTGTGAATAGCAATGTATGCCAAGAGAAGTAGAAATGACTAACTCATCTTACTATCAGTGTCATACCTGAGAGAGAATAAAGATGGGTGAGTCGGTAGAGTGTTTTATCCCTGGGAGTTAGCTTTTTATTATACTGTAGCCTGGCTGTATGGTTCCTATTAGAGAACCAAGGAAATTTCCATTGTAACCTCTGATAATCCAGTAATCATTTTAAAGGATGGGCCAACTCTTTTAAGGAAATTAATGGAAAATATATATTGGCGTAGTTATTGGGAAGGATTTTCTAAAGACAAGAGTAAGAATCTGAATACAGGGGCTGGGAGTGGGGTAGGAGTGGACACTGAAAATTACTCAGCACCTCTACCCTACGTTTTGTGTGGGCTTTTTGTTGATTTTATTAGAAATGTTTAGAAAACACTTCCAAAAACCCTCCAAACTCTAGGCAAGAGTTTGCAAGTTTAAATCAGAAACCGTATTTTTTAAGTAGGCATAGTTGTGGGATATGTTAGTTCTTATGTGGGTTCTTATTAAATATTTGCTGAATTAATGAGCAAATTAATTCTTAAATTGTTTAGGTACTATAAAGAATGATAAAAAAATGAAAAAATGGTTAGAATAGAATAAGAGATTCAGGTGTAGATGACCCCAGTTCCCTACAGATAAAAGACAAAATTTTGGCAAAGTATAAGACAAGGGTGACTCAGGTGGAGAAAAATATGGTTAGATGAAAACAGTGGAAACATATTGTTTTTTAAGTAAACCCCCCACCCCCGCCCTGCTGCCGCCCCAGGGCTAGATGGAGTATCTGATAGCACTTCCTTGTACAGTCCCCACCACATGTCCTTAAAGGTACCAGGTGATTAGATTTCTTTAAAAAAAAAAAAAAAGAGAGAGGAGGATCAAAAGAAACTTTAGAACGGAATTAATCTTAATGTATAGACCTTTCTAACTATAAAACTTTTTTTAAAAAAGCTGTTTTATGGAACAGTTGGGAAAATGTGAATACTGAGTGGGTTTTTGCTCCTATTCAGGAATTATTATTAATTTTTATGAGTATTTTTTTCTTAAATTTCTATATGTTTTAGATATTGCTTATTGAAATATTTATAGATGAAATAAGATGACGAAAATTCGCTTCCAAACAACCCAAGGGTTGTGGGAGAAGGTAGGGGTGTAGATGAAACAAGACTGGCCAAGTTTATAATTGTTGAAGTTGTGTGATGGGTCCATGAGTGTTCAATGAATTATTCTTTCTTTTTGTTTGAATATGTCTATATTAAAAGTTAAAAAACAAAGTACCCAGCCACCAAAAAACTGTGTGGCTCTGGGAAGTTCTCTACCTTCCTTCCACGGGTAAAGGAGTTCAGATTCCCAGCAAACAAATCTGAAATTTGAAATGTCAGTTTCCCATTTACCAAAGAACATTATGTAAATAGATAGATGCATTTTTAAAATTTTTATAAATGGTGGATTCAGTGTATGTAGTACTTCAGTCTGGGGATGACTTTATTTTTGTATGTGCTCTGACTTGCCACCTCCTCTACCCCCACGTGCCACCACAGTTTTCCGAAGAGCAGCGCTTTAACAATTTCCTGAAAGCCCTTCGAGAGAAAGTAGAAATTAAACAATTAAATCATTTCTGGGAAATCGTCGTTCAGGGTAAGCTGTCATCTTCTCCAAATATTTATGCCATTTTTTTATAAATATAAACTCTAAGTATAAATTATATCGTGTGATGACTTTCTGTGTGGATTTAGGAAATTCTCAGGATTCAGTTAACTAAAAATAAGCATAAATACAAAGTGATAAATAATAAGTAAACGTATAAGTCCCATCTTAAACTCTAGGTAACATGACCTGTTTCCAAGATTGCACTTTTCTATTTATTGAGAGAAGTTGTGTGGGCAAAATTGCCCCCTTTCTCAGATTCATAGACACTTTCAGCCCTGCTGGATCCATAGCACTTTCATCGACCTCGCCCATATTTTGCTCTCCTGTTACCTTTTATTTCCCTGTTCTTGGGCTTTTCTTATCAGCAGACCAGCATCTTCATGTACCAAAATCACTCAGTTCCTCACTGACCACAGTGACCAACACAAATTAAACCTAGAAAGAAGGCAGCCACACACTCTTTAAACTTTAGGCTTGATGTTTGATTTTCTTCATTGCTCTTTGCCCATTTTTTAAAACCTGACTTGATTTTCTCTTAGAACCCAAGTATAAGATATTACATCATAAAAATAGATACTAGAAAAACAACAATGTTGAAAGTGTGAAACTTCTCGCTTGAAGCAGAGCCCCCAAATTAATTTCGACCTGTCTTTCTGTGCAAATTCCGTGTAAAGGAGTTCTATACCTATCCGTCCGACTTCCAATGGGCAGCTTTTCCTCACACAGGCAACCATTTCTCTGACAGTTCATTTTTCATCCCTTTAACACCGGGGAGCAAAAGCAATTAGAATAGGTGGTGAGTGGGACTTACTCAAATCACTCTCATGTCTCTGCTGCCAACCAAGTAGATGAAAGAGATTGGTTTTGGTATTTATTGAATGCCTCTAGCATATTGTTTGCTGAAAAGAAATTTACAGACATACACAAGATATGTATTTTCTGAGAGTTAATATCCCATTGAGAGAATACACATCACTTGTGCCATTTCTAGGTGCAAATGGATGTTAAATGGATGTGCCTTCCTGAAAGTGTTTCACACATCATATGTTTGAGGCAGGAGAAAATCTTAGGAAGAAGAGAAAACTAAAGAGTGATTTTCTATCCTTAATTTGCTCTCACTAAGCTAAAATTGCATGTTAAATGATAGGCATGGCCATGGTAAGAGCATGTTTCCTCCTGACCTTAGCCTTCTCGCCATTCCATCAATAGCAAGTAATACTACTAGAAGTCATTCTGTTATTTATTTACTGAGCTGCTGCTGCGTATTACATTGAGAGGAATATAAAGGTGAATAAAACCTCATCCCTGCCTTAGAAAAAGGTGTATAGTACTGTTAGGAGAGATAAAATTTATACAAATAGTCATGCAGGATAAGATATGATGAGAGCCATTTCAAAGAGATAAATAAAGTGATCAGAGAATTCTAAAGGAGAGAGTATTTCTACCTGGATTTAGTCAAGGAAGACTTCATGGAGCAGGTAGCATTTGAGAAGTGGCCTTTATTTTACACAAGCAAAAATAGGAGAAAGGATAATGTAAAATGGAAGGAACAATGTGAGTTAAGTACCTTTAGAGTTAGATATTTCTTATAGGGAAGAGTACCTTTATAGTTTTAAAAATCTCCAGTGCAAAATGGAAGGAGGTATGGTGGAAAGGATGGTGGAACTGGGGTTAATTCTGTCCTTGGATTTTCCTCTGTGAATTATTTTTTAGATGGAATTACTCTGATCACCAAAGATGAAGCCTCTGGAAGTTCTGTCACAGATGAAGAAGCCAAAAAGGTATTGATAAGTCTCTGTCTTCAGATGTGTCTGTCATTGCAGTGGATATCATTGTCTTGATGCCCATTCTTACTTGAAGAAGTCAAATTTTAAGGGTAACTAAAATTAATATACCCATTTTTACTCAACCAACAGGCAAATTGCTTCAGCTGCAGCATCCTTATGGGAGAAATTATAATTTCACTCAGTTTTCCATAGACTGTGGTATGTTTCCAGAACTCATACGTGATCCCAGTTTCAGTAGCTCCAGAGTCCAAGCTTAGCCTGGACCATAGGGTCTAGGCTATGAAATCCCTTTAGCCCAGGAATTCTCACCCTGGCCACACAGTAGTCACCTGGGAGCTGTTTTGTTTTTAAAAAAGTGCTGATGACCGGGCCCCTCCCCCAAGCTACTGTTTATCTGAGATGGGTCCTAGGCATGGTCATTGTAATTTGCAGCAAGGTAGAGAACACTAGTATTCTAGCATAAGGCACATCCACGTGTTTTCAGTAAGTAGAAGACCCCGTGTACGCAAACCCCGTGCACTTGGATTGACACAGGCCATTTGGCCAGTGTCTCCCTGTTGTTTGGTATAAGAATACTGAATCTGATTTAGCTGTGAGTCAAATGCATGGGGCTATTTAGCTCAGTAATCCTTTATTATACCTCAGGTTTTTGATGACATTTTAAGGAAATTAAATTGAATAGCTCAAAAGTAGATGGTTCATAACATTAAGTTTCAGTTAGTCACTGACTGATCCAGTCCTGCTAGCACAGCACTTGGCAGCTGTCAGGTATGTACTAAGCTAAGCCTCTGCTATATGCTAGACACTGTGTTGGATGATAAGACAGCACCCCAGTCCTCTAGAAACTCAGTTACAAGGTTGCATAGGAGGGAGTGAGACTCGAAAAATAACTACACACAGTAAGGGAGAGCTCGGTCTGAAGTGGCAGAACAGGAATCTTAAAGGAATGGCCAGAAGAAGGCTGGAAATGTTCATCATACGGCTAAATTCAGGCCAAATTAAAATGCCTTGAATTTTTATAAAGTCATTTGGCAGAGACAATAATGTTGTTTGGGAGAGTAGTCAGAATATACAATAATTTTTATTAAGTACTGTGCCTGGCAAAAGCATTTTTTAAAATAGATATGGTCTTTGCTTTCAGAAAGTAATACCTTGTAACTTTAGCAGCATAGATGCTGATTATTGTCTCAGAAGGGGTTGAGAGGGAGAGAAAGAGAGAGAGAAAGAGTTTAGATTGATTTATTTTAAGAAATTGGCTCACACAATTGTGTAGGCTGGCGCATCTGAAAGTTGTAGGGCAGGTCAGCAAGCTGGAAACTCAAGCAGGATTTCCGTGTTACAGTCTTGAGGCAGATTTCCTTTGGATGAGAACCGATTAGATGAGGGCTAGCAACATTATTGAGGGTAATCTTTACTTAATGTTAGCTGATTATAAAAGTTAATCACATCTACAAAATACCTTCACAGCAACATTGAGACTGGTGTTTGAAGCAGTAACTGGGTACCATAACTTACCTAAGTTGACACATAAAATTAATCATCAATATGGTAAAGGCTTATCAGTTTTTGCTAAACAAGTAAAATTAGTCAAGACAAATAATTTTAGTCATTGTTGTATTAAAATAATATCTGTTATCTAGATGAGAGTTGAGTACATATTACGGTTTTTGGAGGAAGAGGGGAGCAGTGATCTTAAAAAGGTAGTTTTCTTCACAGCAGTACATTTAACCAAAGGTGTCACAGCTAAGTGAATGCAGAATATTAGAGAGGAAAGAAATCGAAGAAGGGATAATACGCTTCTTGCAGATAGTCTGAGGTTTGTTCTTTATTGCATGTGTGGTATCTTCTTTGAAATTTAAGGGCACAGAGCTTTTCCAAAAGGAATTTTATTGTCTGATAATTAAGCTGTGGAGAGGAATTTCAGTTAATGATTACATATGGGCTGGTGTCCTTACGTGATTCTACTATCAGCAGAACTGATTTCAGTTGGTTGTAATTTAAGACAGTTCTGAAAACTTCTCCATCTTCAAATAAAGAAGAAACAGTAAACACAGTAGAGCCTATGGTTCTGCCTCACATGTGCATGCTGTCATGTCTGACTTGCAAGATTATGCTTTTACGTCTCCTTCAGTATCACATGAATCCTTTGTTTTGTTTTTCAGAGTAAAGACTTAATCCTTTGTATTAAAAACGTTTTTAAATGGCACCTGTTGATATTTGGTGAGACGTGTAGAAGAGATTGCACATTTACAGATGGTAATGGGGAGAATTACCTAGAGATATTCTGGCTCATGGAAGCTGATTCCTTGTGGTTTTAATAGGAGAGACACGCTTCAGCTATTTCTCTTGGCCAAGTTAGGGAAGCATAATCACTTTTGATCATGTGTTTAAAAAGTCATTTACATTGCCTTCAAAACAAGTGTTACATTTTGTCACTTCTCAAATAATCAATTAAGGAAACTTGACTATAATCAGAGAGATTGAAGAACAATCTTCATGGTGCTCTTAAACTCTTTTCAAGATATTTACAAGTTATTTAAAGTTGACAAGCTATCAAATTCTTGCTATAAAATGTTGATGATTTGAAGGGAAATAATTATCCAGGGATGTCCATTTGAAGTGAAAACTGAATCTTAACTTTATACTTGCAAATCTTAAGGAGTGCCATTCCCCCTACTGTATTCTAGAAATGTGTGGATTTTTTGACTCTTTGACAAATATAGGTAAGTCAGCCCTGCTGCAGAAATAGAAAGTTCTTCCATCACATAAATTTAGATACAAATAGTCACTTTCTTTTAAGTGTACTGATACCTCTCGTTTCATTTTGAAGCCTGGAATAGCTCTTACCCCTTTTATGTTCATTTTTATTGTCATTATAACCTGTCAATTCTTAACTTTTTCCATTTTCTACTTGCTATTCTTAGACATGGCATTAACATTTGATGTTTGGTAAAGTCTTTGTGTAGCTCTTGTGTACCTGCCATCCATCACTTCATTCTCAAAGCATGGTGTGGACAGAATTGTGGCTGTGCATCCTGGCACATTCCAGGAGCACCTGGGCTTTAGCCGTTGGCCACAAGACCTGGACTTGTGGAAGATCAGGATAGACTGTCCTCCACTTGAAGTTTATCTTTGTTATCAAAAACCTTTTTTTTCCTTTTTTACGTTTCTTCTTGCTAACCTGTGTTATAGTTAGGACAGTGGTTCTCAACCAGGAGATTTTGCTCCCTAGACGGCATTTGGCAGTCTGGAGACGTGATTGGTGGTTGCGGCAGGGGCATGCTGCTGACCCCTACTGAGCAAAGGCCAAGAGTGATTGGAAACACCCTGCAGAGCACGGGGCAGCCCCCAAACAAATAATTATCTGGCCCAGTGTTGATAATGGCGCTGCCGAAAAGCACTGGATTAGAAGAACCTATACAAGCCAGATTCTTAACTGAGGCAGAGAACATTGGCTTATGTTGAAAAGAATTGTATTCAGCTGGAAAGAATCCTGATGACCTCCTTACTGAGTTTTTATTTTTAAAACTGAAAGCTTACAAGGAAGCCTGTTATGTAAAACGGATAAAGGTGGCACTCCTCAGCTGATGGACAGTGGACGTGGCAGATGGGGAGTACCCGTGCTCAGGGGACTCGGAGGACCTCACAGAGCAGAACCTGAAAAATACCTATCTAGTGCAAACTTCTTATTTTATAGATGAAAAACTTAGGGCCTTGAGAAGTAAAATGACCTGTCTGAGGCCTCATAGTAAGCCATTGGCCAGGAAACCAATTGTAGGCCGACCTCCTACATTCTTTTAACTCTGTATTAAGAACACGTTGGGGACAGAGGATTTATCCCCATGGCTTTGGAGTATTGTTTCTCATGGGATTCTAAGAGGCTGAGCTATGCCTAAACATTTGATCCACGCTCTTTGCGGGAGAAATCATCTTTTTAACACTAATCTTTCCTGTAGCAGCCTATGTTAGTTTTCTTTGTTATTGTTGACATTGATTCTCCAGCTTAATGTCATATGTGCTCAGAGCTTAGCCATCTGGTCATTTTACAGATGCTATCTAGAGAGGTGAAGTTGATTTGCTCAGTGTCTTACAACAAGTTCTTGGCCAGTAGGACTGACCAGAATCCAGACCCTTAGACTCCTACTATAGTCAGATTTGGCCCCACCTCTCCATGCCCCCACCTTAGAATGCCACCTGCCACATCTACATAAAGAAAAGATTCTCACACCCCCTCTTTCAAGAGTATGCTCGTTTTTGCGTGAGAGATCACCAAAGTCTTCTGAAGGATTATAAGATCGGAATTAAGAATCATTTCCTGAGAACAGTGGTCTCTAGCTGCTGGCCCTTGATGGACCCCAGGATATTTTCCTTTGTTCTTTTCCACTTTCCTTTCCTGGCTTAAATCTCTGGTGTCCTTGTTCTATATGCTAGTCTAAGAAAAGCAGTAATGAAAATGTCACAGTGTTACCTTAACATTTGTTTAGACCTTGGTACTTTTAAGATATAATTTTTAAATCTTTATTGAAGTTGAGAATACATACAGTAAATACGAAAATCTTAAATGTGCAACCTGATGAATTCTTACACATTCATATATCTTGATGCCTAGCTCCCAGATCAAAATATAGAATATTCTCATTACCCCATAGTCTCCCTTGTACCTTCCCAGGCATAATTCCCCTATCCCCCAAGGTAACCACTGTTCCAACATTTGTCACTTGAGAATAGTTTTGCCTGTTCTTAACCTTCTTATAATTGGAATTAGGCCTTTTATGTTTCATTTATATTGTCAAGAATTGTTCATTATTTATAGCTTTGTAGTATTCCCTTCTATGGTTATAGCACAATTTACTTATCTGTTCTCCTGTTGATGGACACTTGATTGTTTCCAAACTGGCAGTTATGAAGAAAAATGCTATGGATATTCTTGTACATATTATTTGGTGGACATATGTTGGGTATATTCTTAGGAATTGGAACATAAAACCTACAGCATCAGAAAAAATTTTTGCATACTTTATTTCATCTGAAACTCAGTACAACTCCATGAGATAGATAGGGTAATAGTAATATTCCCATTTTATTTGTGAGGAAAATTTGTTATGGGAAAGTTAAGTAGCCAGCGCCCAGGGTTACTGAGGAACTGACAGAGCTAAGGTTATGGCTCTATTCTTCCATACTAGGTTACAGGATTTCTCTGTTGCACTCTACTGCTTTTATAGCATGAAATAACTACCGGGGGCTTTATTTTAGCATAATATATACAAGTGGACTTTTATTCTTTCTGATGCTTTTATACTTCTGGATTACGGGCGATTTTTTTGGACTTGCCTGATGGTGTTTGAATCAGCCCAGCCGAAGCCATGTGCTTTTAATTTGGGGATCAGTAAGGTTCTGAGCACAAGCTGAATGTTTCTAATTTTATGGAGGGAAAGGACTGGAAATTTTATACAGATGTTATTGATTCCATTTCTCAGCTTATGGCCAGGATGGCATTGAATTTATCCATTCTCTTAAGATCTCCAAGTAAAGAGGCTCTTTCTCGGTACCCCATGTAAGTGACAGTGGTCCGAGGGAAGAGAAGTGCGTTACATCAGTGCCCTTTCTACTTATTCTCTACTTCTTCAGCATGTTGCAGAGGTAAGACACACGCAAAAAATTATGAGACTAGACTCCTCCCTTTTTCTGATGTTTTCAGAGAATCCGTTGGGATTATTGAGAAAGCAGGCCAATTACTGAACTCTCTGCTATATCTCTAGCTTCCCTGTCACTGCACAGCTTGGAAATTACTTGCAGTTAAAAACTCTGATGATGAGGAGTGATGTGTGTGAGAGCTCAGCCTTGCCTGGGGGCTTTGGGAAAGATAGTGGATGGCAGCCCAGCTTTTAACCGTAATTTGCTTACGCAGAAATGTTGAGCAGATCTATCAGGAAAATCAGTTGCAGATGTTCAGCACTTGATGGAAACGACAGATTGTTTGCTGCTGCTCCTCAGTTCCTAGGAGTTAGGTCTGGTCTCAGAGATGTGCCATTTGTGTTTAATTGTATATACTGTGGTCGATCTGTGCAGGTGGTCCTATCTTAATTTATCCTGTCATTGCAGTGTGAAAGGGGCTTTGCAGGTGGGGAGGGAACGGGAATTGGAGCTTTTAGAGCCATGTGCCAAAAAAACATGAGAGATTTTCTAGACTCATCAGTAAGTACCTACCATGTATCAGGTTACTAAAGGGTGATCAAAGATGAGTGCACTGTAGAACCTTTTGGCCCACAGAGTTTGTGTTTGGAAAGCGCTGGCCGTTCTTGGCCCCAGTGAGGTTTATGACAGCTCTACTCTTTATTTTCTTCACCCCAAATGGATGTCTTATTCTTAGCTGTGTGTTTCTGATATAGGGAAAATCATGTGGAGATTAATGATAATGAGAAGAGAAACAAAATAAAAATTACTTTTTAACAGTGATAATTACGAGAATCATAAATAAAGATCAATTTGGGAATCTTGGATAGAGCAGTTTAACCTTTAGACATAAACCATATGCAAATACATATGTGGCTTTCTTATTTATCTGTATTTGGTCCTCAGATATCTTTATTAATAATCTACCAGAATAAATAAAATTAATGATATAGAAGCTGCATTACAGTTCTGTTCCAGACTGTACCACCATTGGTGGCATTTTCTGCCTCTTACACCATTGAGTCCCAGCACTGAACAGTCCAGTTTCGGGTGGTCAAAAGGCTATAGAAATATCCACAAATGCTTTAGAAAAAGACAGATTCCCAACCTCTCGGTCATGCTTGAAGATGATGAGTGGGGAGGTGGCTTTTGGCTGAGGGGTGAAAAGTCAGGAGAGAGTTCGTGTCTACAGGGAACCATCATGGCCACATGCACAGTGCTAACGAAGCATCGTCCAGTTCTGCACAGACGGTTGCCGCTGTTGCCATTCTGCTAACTCTGTGAGTTAGCACAGTTAGGAAGGATGTGCAGTGCTGCAAGTCCTCTGAGTTGTAAATACAGCACAAAGACTGCTTGTCGTAGCCTCGCTACACACAGCCTAATGCTTAAAGGGTGACGTTGGTTTTGATTTGTTAGACATATTTCAGTGTGTTTATGTTTTAGTTTTAGAGGCCTCGATTGTGTCGGTTGTACCACAGATATAACATGAATGTATAGAGAAAGCAGTTCTTGCATGTTTTCATGTTGAGAAAGTGAGAAAAGTGTAACTACACTTTTCCCCTTAGGTGGAGGCAGCTGCAGGAGAGCAGAAGTGGGCTGGCGGGTGCACTCACCGCAGGCGTGCTCCATGCACACTGACCCCGAGGAGCGCCAGCGGGGGGAGAGAGGCATGCTCCACCTTCCACTTCTCCTTTTAAAAACACTCACTCCTGTAGAACCATCTCTGCCACCATTTTAAGTACTCATGCTACCAGAAGATCACTTCTGGTATTAGGATAGATAAGTGATTGACAAAACCTAGCTCTTAGACGTAGTTACCACATGTCTTGACGAAAAAGAGTCCCCACCGCTGTCTCTTGAAGGGACAGGATGGAGAGCAGGAGTGTTCAGATGGTTTTCAAGGGCACTCACTACCCTTTTAAAATCTGAGTTTTACTCCTCAATCCTTGCAGATTTTAGTTCAGGCCCTTGCTCTTTTATGTGTCTGCCTTTTAGAAGCTCCAGATCTGGAACATTGCTGCTGAACAGAAGCGAACACTAGAAGTTTTCTCATCCACCTTTCTGTTTTCAAACCATTTCTAATACAAACTGAAGGATTTACAGAAAGGAATTGAACAACCTCCCAAGCTCACCCATTTTTTGTTTCACATCATTTACAAGAAGTTCTTCCTTTGATCTCTTCTGTGCACAGTGGAGTTGAAGAATGGATGATAATAATCTTTAAGCTCAGACCCTTGATTCTTGCGCTCCCTTCAGAAGAGACCAAGACTTGCTGGTTTGGGGAGTTTGGTTCTTTTCCTAACCCTGATGAGCCCACGTGTCTCCTGTGGAAGCACAGATGGGAATATCAGGTATCATCAGTGCTCGACGTAGGCCCCTTTACATTGTCACTACCTTGGCGAGCCATGTCATTCCCTGCCTCTTCACAAGAACTTTCTCTGTGACTAGGTAGTGTGGACTACTCAACTTCAAAATTAGTCTTTTTGTCCAAAGACAAATGAAGGAGCAGATGTGAAGATGTTTCTTTTGGGCCATTTGTAGTGAGACTTTGCTAAGCAGATCTTCTTAGATTTGCCTGTTACAGTGCTAGCAGTTTGTTCCTTCATCAGAAGAGAGGAAAATGTTCTTTTGGTATTCATGACCAACTTTATATTCACAGTTTCTGGCCCCCAAAGAAAATCCCAGTGAAGACACAGCAGCCGTATTTGAAGAAGGTGGCGATGTGGATGATTTAGTAAGTACTTTTAACATATACTAGCTGTTCTAATGATTGAAGTCATCTGAGCTTTAAACATAGCATGAAGGCTGCTTATCATAGACTTGTTTCTTATTTGTGTTTTATTTCTAACACACCAGAAGCTCTCTGCACTATTATTTATTGCCATTATATATTTAATCAGATAGGTGACTTCATAATGGAAATTTCTGTACTTAGTGGTTTTAGTTATATGTTCATTCAGTTTAATCCTCTTCTTTGAAGGACTAAAGAACTGGGGAGGCTATTCCTATAAGTAGTAAAATGTCTTAATTTACTGAAGTTGTTCTTAACAAAATAAGCAATAACAACATGTGATTTGTGTGGGTTGACAAATAAAAACAGCCTTTAAAAAGCCTCATTCCTAAATGTTCTCAGTTAACGTAAGCAACAGAGGCTTACAGGCATTTGGGGATTTCTGCACCTCATCACACTGCGTCCGGGTGCCTGGGAGGCAGTGTGGAAGTGCTGGCCTTTACATCCATCTTTCGTGTGTGGAAACTTTCTGCCTTTAAGCCTCACATGACAGCTGTCCAGTAAAAACTTTCAGCCTTTTGTGGAAAAGTTCTTAGTATTGGAGTGAGGTGATACTTGTTATTTAACTCCTTAAATAGCAATGAGTAAGTGTGCAAGTACGTGCATACTATCAATGAAGAGAGCTATTGTCATTAAACTCTTTCTCACCAGGGAAGCAGTGTTCTGAAGTTGTCCTGGTTCCTTTCTAAATGTATTGTTCCTGTTAACAGCTGGACCTGATCTAGGTCCTGGATGTGTGGGGAGTCTGCAAGCCTTGTCATCACTGTCGTGCTGGGAGCTCTACACAGAACCTGGAGGAAGCCATTCACGGGGACAGGAAGGTCTGGTGATGGTCCCTGCAGGTTACATGGAAGTGAATCACCTAATTCTCTGTGTAGTAAATATATGCATATATAAGGGATATTTAGATCCCATACAAGTTTATAAAGAGACATTGTTATTTTCTGATCGGTGTATTATTTCTCTTGTGGTCTTATTGATCTTCGTACGTAACTCACGTGCTTTGAAGTTTCTGGAAAATGGATTTCCTCCTCACCTGGTATCTTGGTGAGGATTGCAGCCCTCATGGAGTTATCTCACCCAGCACTGTGGCATGGTCACTGGTGAGTTTCTCAGTCCTCCCCAGGTGTTGTCCTTTGCCCGATCATCTCACAGCCATCACTGCTTATGCTGATCACGCAATGGCATTTGTTCCCTATCAACAGAAAGCTGGGTTTGGAGACTCTTGGGTGAGGTCTGGCCCGTTATTCTTTTTATTTAAGCCTTTTAGTCACGCATTACTTTGTCTTTATATGCCTGTAGGTGGGAAATTAAGGAAATTAAGCAGGGTGGAAGGGGGAGCATGGCCTTCCTGCACGTACCCATTTTAAGCAGTGAGTTATGGTGTCCTCATAAAGATGCTCTTTTGGCCCAGCTTCTGGCATACTAGCGAACCCTGAAAAAAACAAAACTTGCCACCAGTAATTAGGATTTTATCATTTCATTATTCGACTTTTGGGTCTCGTGAGAGAAAGTTTGGTCGTGTTAAAACACTTTTTAATTTCCCAGTCTTTCCCAACTCCACCTAAGTGTCCTTTCCTTTTTCTCTGTATGATGTTTTTTTTTGTTTGTTTGTTTGTTTTTTACCTAAAAGAAGAAATAGAAAAGCATTATTTTGTTTTCCTGACCTCATTTCTTCCCAGAATTCTAACTCCTCTTTCCTTTTTGTCACAAACTTTGTGGTACACAATCTCCCATATCCTCAGCACCCCTATAAGTGGTCATTGACTCACTTCAATTTGCAGACATAACGTTAAAGGCACAAATGACTCGCTCCTCCTGCGGATCACTGCTCATTACTAATCGTCTGCAAGAGAACGCTTCAGTGCTTTGCTGAGAATTAAAGACCCTCTGTGCATTGATTGAAATGGATCTCCACAACAGAACATCATTCGGTCAGCTGAGGGGAGAGGAGGGAGGAGTGGCTTACTCGGGGCCTCTGGGACACCCCGTGATACTGTGCAAACTCGAGTCAATCTTGACATAGAGGTGCCCGTTTAAAGCAACCCCAGCGATGCCATGTCTTACTGTCCAGTTGGAGAGTTACATCCCAGGATATGTGTGTGACTTGGATGAAACTGAGACATTTCATAGAATTAACAAGAAAAACTTTGTTCTCAAAATTCCACATTATTCTCATCAGCTCCTCCTGGCAGTATGAATCAGTTCTGTGAGCATGGCCTCAGAAGCATCCCTTGTTGTTGGCAATTGGTGGAATTTCCTCTTGGAAATAATCCTTCTGTCAAACCAAGTAACAAACCAGGAAATGTTTGAATTAAGTTAGTCCTTTAGATCTTCTGCTATTTTTTGATTTATGATGCAGGCAGTGGGTTATTTTTGCTTCCCTAAGCACATTTTTACCTAAATTATCTGAATACCTGAAGGAAGAAATCAGTTTAACAGGCTAGAATGAGAAAGGGTTAAATTAGCCATGTAATTTCTAAATCCGTTTCATGTAGGCAGTGTGTACGTGCTGTGTAGACTTGGTCAGAGCATACTGTTCTGAGTAGAGGTATCGTTTTTTTTTAAATTGTGTAAATGTATTGGGATGACGTGGATTAATAAGAATATATAGGTTTCAAGTGTACAATTCTATAATACACCATCTGTATATTGCATTGTGTGTTCAACACCCAAAGTCAAGTCTCCTTCCGTCACCATATATTTGACCCCCTTTATCCTCTTCTACCTCCCCTCCCCCTTCCTTCTGGTAACCACCATACAGTTGTCTGTGTCTGTGAGTGTTTGTCTTGTTTGATTGTTTGTTTGTTGCTTTCTGTTTTATATTCCACATATGAGTGAAATCATATGGTTCTTGATTTTTTCCATCTTGGGGGCATCATGTTTTGAATGAACACATCCAAAGTCCCCTTGCCCTGAGATGAGATTTGCAGAGCTATAGAACTCCTAGGTGTTCTGCTGACTGTGGCCTTGGGAGAGCAGCAGGCAGTATCGTCCTCAGGCATGTGCTGGTCCTCGGAGCCCGTTAGTCCCGCAAATGATAGGTTTGCATGCATGTGACCTGGAAATCACTGTCAGCCCTGTCGTCTTTGGTCTTCTCTAACATTTACTGGCTTACAGAGGAGGTAGAGATAAAGGTGGAGGACTCACCCACCTCTCCAGTCACAACCTTTATGCCCCTTGAGGGTGTGCGCTGCCCTTCTGGTAAGAACCACTAACTTAAATGTTGGAGTTTAATCCTTTGCCAATTAATTTACATAGAAAATTTAGAATCTTAGAAGATTCTTCAGAAAACCATATTGGGGATAGGCAGTTTTTTTACCTAGTTAAGGATAGTTATGAAAATAAATGGACACATATATATTTCTGTTTTGAATATGTACAGTGCTAATGACTAGCTTTACGGCTAATTTTGATTCAGGCAGCATATAATGTGTTGGTCCACTATCTCACATTGTCTTCATTTTGTATTGCCCCCTTTCTCCCAGGTACTCTAGGTTCAAAACACAAGCTCAAAGCTCATTTGGAGTAGATCCCTTGAGGGAAAAGACCACTAGGCAAGCCCAGGTCCTAGATTCGAGTTCTGCCTCTGCTATTTTCTCTGTGGCCTTTATCGAGATGCTAAACCTGTTACCTGCCTCCCAGGCTTACTAAGAAAGAACATGCCCATTGAAAGTACTATGTAAACTATAAAGTACTTTATACAAATAAAGCATTATGGTATTATGATATTATGAAGACTCAAAATAGCAGGCATGCACAGAACTTTGGAATAGGTCTGCTTCATATCGCTATTTCTATCTTATTTCTTAAGAACCTTGAGTATTCCAGTGCTAGTTTTCATAATTATCTATTGCTATTAGACTTAGGTTTTCTTATCTAATTATTATGAAAATTAGAGTCTCTGTGTGGTCAAGGTCGGGGGTCAAGACCCGGGTAGGTTTTGATAATTTAGATAAGGTGACCATGAGTCCCAGTTTACTTGGGAATTGTCCTGACATAATACTACCCTCTTTCACTCTCGAAAGTGCCCTCTGGATATGGGTTATAGATTATATGGTCGCCCGAGGTTTTGACCATATTAAGTTAGTATCAAGTCCAGGGCCCACAGAATGGCCGTATACTGCCTTGCCCAGCACCCCTCTCCTGTTAACTCCCTGCCGAGCTTAAATACATAAGGAGCAACATAGAAATCAGGGTGGAAACGGCTAGGTTGTGGCTCACAGCTTAGGTTTGTAGTCTGCTTCCTACACCAGATCTTGTTACCGCCTGGCCGGCAGCATGGAGCAGAAAGTGGAAACGCATTTGAAGTTTAATGTACATATAACCTATGAGGGGTTTTAATGACCCCTAATAACTGTGGCTCTGGAACCAGTCACATGTGTAGGTCCTCGTCCCTGTAGTGAGCAGGGAAATATTGGGAGGGTTGAGGGGAATGGGCTTCCTCCCCCACCCCACACACACTTTTACCCCATGTAGGTCAGTCCACCTAATCTGGAGTTGATCCTCTCTGCTTAGACAGTGTTGACTTGCAGTGGTCATTTGGAAAGGAAGGAATTGCCCTTTTCTCTATGGGAACATTACCCCGGGCTAGGCTTCCTTCTGTTCTTTAGTGGCAAATGGCATAATGCTCAGTCACTTGAGCATTAGGGTGCTCGACACTCCTAAGTTTATTAAATTCTGATGTCAGTAGCAATTAACAGCTGTGTGGCCTTCATAAGCCCTTTAGGCTCTATAAGCAATAGAATAATGAAATCACTTACATCTCATCCGTGGGCAGGATGGCCTGGGAGAAGACAAGACCTTCTCAGTCAAATAATTTTTGAGCAGAATCTGTTCGCGTGCCTAACCCTAGCAGCAAGGGCAATTGTGAGGGTGAGAATATCTATATTATTTCAGCCATCCTACTTGAGACAACTCAGGAAGAAAGGACGGGGAGAATGAATATTGAGTTAGCCAGCTGACAGTTTGTCACCCAGTTCCTTCACTAGCTAGCTACATAAGGTCAGAGAAGTTGCTTCACCCTTCAAGTCTTCCATTTTGCTGTATATATGGCAATTGATGGGTTTGTTTGAGATTTAAAATCAGTCACTTGAATATCACTCCCTACAGAGTAAGCCAGTGTCAGTAAACTTGAGTACTTCCAGCCTCTTATTCACTCATCTCCCTATGTCCTGTGTCACAGCCAGAGATACCTCTGGAGGGAACCAGAGCAGGTCCCACCCTCTGTCACAGCACGGGGCCTCCCAGATCTCCATACCCAGGGCCCGTTTGGGAGCGCCCCCTGTGCCCCTCACACAGACTTTGCTCTCCCTGCGACATTGCTTCTCAGCGCCTTGAGAAAGTGCAGCTGTCCCTCCCACCATGACCTGAGTCCCTGCGCTGGCCCATGGTAGGCAATGGTGGCAGCTGGAGAGTACCAAGAAAGTACAGAAATGGAATTTCAGTTCTGTAATTTAGGGCCTCAGGCATCTGCAGAGTCTGTGCCATTTGGTAATTCCACAGCTCTTTCCATCCTCCTCCCGCTAGAAGCTTGCTTTTTAATTCCCAACTTAGACCGCCTACATTTCACATCCTGCCTCTACCATTTCCTGGCTGTGTGACCATGGCCAAGTTACTCATCTATTCTTGGCCTTGGTTTCTGCAACTGCCAAAGAAGGCTTATGGTAACAGTAGCTATCTTCCAAAGTCGTCAGGATAAATGAGGATGACCCACATAAAATGCTTGACACGTAATAAGTGCACAGTAAATATTTTCCATTATCAGCCTCTCCAATTCTAAATTTCTTCTTCCATGCCAGCATCTGTCTGGCTTTAAAATTCCCTACTCTGCCTCTGCAAATGGACACCGCTAGCCCTACACAGGTCAGCTAATCCATAACAACTTTCAGAGAGAGAACTCAATCTCTGACCTTAACTTGCTCTGTGATCCAGATGCATCATTCCAA